GTTTTAACGGTTGACGAGCAACTGTTTTGCTTGATCTGTCTGAGCTAAGCCATGTTAAAAGATAAGGATGGAGTTCAACACGTGGCAGAGGCTTTATATAACATTTTGAGACATGATCGTTTGTGACCCAAATAAAAAAACAAAGTCGGACACATGTCGCTATCACGTTTCTGAGTATTAACCTTTTGTGTAAACTGCTTTTTTAACAGGAAACCAATTAATCCTATATCGTCAAGGAAATATTATGGGTTCGGTGTTACATATCTAATCACAAACATCAGTTTGGAACATGTCTTATATTAACAGTATGTCGTTAAGAACGATAGTTTTCGTAAGTAATCAACAATGGCAATGTTTTTGTAGAGAATTGTAAAATGGAATTTGGAAACTAATACGCTTTTATGTTTCCAGCTCTGATTACTTCCTAATTAATTTCCATGATCAGTTAAACAGAAAAAAACATGTGAGTGAGCGGGTGAATACGATTTTAATCCGGGTTTAGCAATATTCCAGCAATATCACCGCGGGAAACACAAGAAATGGGCTTCACACATTTGTACCCATGTTGGAAATCGAACCCGGGCCTTCGGCGTGACGAGCGAACGCTTTAACCACTAGGCTACCCCACCACCCCACTTGATTAGTACATTCGGGTCAAGGTGAATACAACCATTCTAACAAGGATCATTGCAGGTGAAAATGGAACATCTTGCATTATTAGGGAACCACTGTGATACAGGAACGTCACTAGAGACCATTTCCACTGCCATAACCTATCATTAGATCCATACTGCTCAGTACATGTATATGCAGTTATATAAGCACTTGGCCAGGTAATATCAGTATATTAAACTCTCGGCAAGGTAATATCCGTATATGAACATTCGGGCAGGAAATATTCGTATATAAACAGCCAATCACTCCTACCAAACTTGGAGGAGCACAATTTGTTCTCGCAACAAAAGCATTATATTATCACTATATTAACACTGTATACATATACAATTATATATCTCCTCTTGCAGGCAAAGTTTGTGACGACAGACATCATCTTTTTTATTAACACAGGCGTATTGAACAACATACTGAGAGTTATCATGGCGCACGTTGTGGACATTTTATCATTCCGCCCGTGGATGTGTATGGCCGAACATATTTAAACATCAGTAAGGATACGATGTATCGATGAACAACTGCTTTATTACAATTAGGAGCGACGTTTCAGTGTAGGTTCTTACACCGTTATCAAGTGATGTAACAGTTATACCCTACACCGAAACGTCGTTCCCAATTGTAGGTTTGGTTTGGTTTGTTGTTTAACGCCGCACTCAGCAATATTCCAGCTATATGAAGGCGGTCTGTAAATAATCGAGTCTGGACCAGACAATCCAGTGATTAATATCATGAGCATCGAGCCACGCAATTGGGATCGATGACATGCATCAACCAAGTCAGTGAGCCTGACCACCAGATCCCTTTAGTCGCCTTTTACGGCAAGCATGGGTTGCTGAAGACCTATTCTATCCCGGAATCTCCCAATTGTAATAAAGAAGTTGGAGTACTAAGTAAGGATAAAATATATGGATGAACAACTTCTTTATCCCAATTGTAATAAAGAAGTTGTTCATCTATATAATAAATTATTTTATCCTCACTTAGTACTCCAACTTCTAAATGCCTCTCAATGAAGATATTAAAACATCGCGTGGACAGACCAAGGGCGAATGAACTGGATTCATTGTCAAAATGTATAATCTGTAATATTATTCATTTTATGTAATGACAACATACTTGACTCTCTTGCGATGTTGATTTTTCTATTTGGAAATGTGCGTATTCTCAAAATACGTTACTGTACCATTGGTAGGGGCCATGAAGATAAATCAAGATTTGATTTGTTACATCCATGATGAAAGTTGGTATGTTCGTCCTGTGGTATTGAAGTAGGACAATGGGTCTAATGTAATATTATCGACAGGGTTGTCGGTACGAAAAGAACTCTTGTTCGTATTCTGTATAAACAGAACGCGACAAACACCCTTTCCATATCCATATGAAATCTCTACTTAAAGGAGAGTCCATTGTACGATTCCGTTTTTATCACAAGCATGTGGTTATAATCGATATTGGGTAATATTCTTTGGCGTTGACGATTTATTATGACTCACTATCAATAGTGTTACCCACCCATATCCAATCGCGGTGCCTTGGACGACTGGGACTCTCGTTCACCCAGATACATAATATAATACAATACTACGCTAAAGGAATGATTCCGATTATTGGCGTTCCCTTATTTTCTTCCATCAGTATATATCTACATATCGAATAGACCAGTTACTGTATTATAATAATTGAAAGTTTACTTAATAATGGACAACTCAAATATTGTTTATATTTACTTAGTCTGTTTACCACTAATTATTTCTGTAGTCCTTGTTTCCCCGCGGAGTCAAGTTTTATATGTATAAAAGTTTAAAGTGAAAAAATACACATATTAGCAGAATAAACTATTTATACATAAAAACTACCGAAATTGTCTTTCAAGTTCTAACCACGTTTCTTGCCCCGTGACATAACATGAAAGCAATGCTTAAGGCGTTGTTTGTTGCTGTAGGTTACAATATTTAGCACGAACAAAATAATCACAAAACATATATATAAATAGGATGTTTGGACATTCTGTAATGTATGCTAGTCTTAATTACCCTTATACCCATAATATAGAGTGGACGTAATCGCCGTGTGCTCCCAAAATGATTTCATACACTTCATTTGAAAAATGATCTATTGAATTTCATCAAGCTATGCCACAATCAACAGACAGCTGTATTGATTGTGGTATGAGACGTTCTCAGACCTCTTGACTGGTATCTCATTATCGTGTTAAAACAATGGGTGAAAGTGCCTCCGAGATGTAGGGAATGAGTCTGAAGTGGACACTGACATGAGCTATGTACTGTAAAGTGTGAAGTGATGTATGAAAGGATGATATGACCAGAAGAGCCACATCTGTCTCACACCTGCCACTCGCTCGTCCACACATTAGGAGCTCATGCCTCATGGGCATTCAAACTTGTATCTTTATCACAAGACCACAGACGTATGACATAAAACACTTTCGTAAATACATTTACGAATCACTGAAATGTCACAATACTGACATCAGGAACGCGCCCAATGTGAGTTAAGGCCATGTTCAAGGTTCATGTTGCCTTGGCCCATGTGGAGCACCGGTTGCCCAGTCGCTATGATGCGTTGCAATTCGCTGTTCAAAGTTGCGTACGTTAGTCGTTCCAGAAGTAACATTGGTTCGAATCCCGGTTACTCTTGCTTGTGTTTCTTGGTTAGTAGGCACCGTACCATTGCTCGTGCGATTTACCACAGCGACAGTCGTCAAATATCAGCATCACTTCGAGATTTCGTCCTACATGATGCTGCCACAAACGTCAGTAGTCGTGTTGAGCCTCACTCACACTGTCACTGGGGCCATCGTTAGTCACCCGTTCCCACCAACACACCCTCTTTCAATGAATATCTGTCGAGGTGTTACATTATACCCCATTACATATCCACGCGGGGAACTGTGGGTTGGAGTACGTTAGACATTGATGGTCGACACAAAGCAATTTGATAATCTTTGCAACAAAAGAATGACAGAAGCCATTGATAAACACATTTTACATGTACAGCAGAATTTGTAAACTAATGATTTACCCGTGAAGATCCGGGGTAGAATAGGTCTTCAGCAACCCATGCTTGCCGTAAAAGGCGACTATGCTTGTCGTAGGAGGCGACTAACGGGATCGGGTGGTCAGGCTCGCGGACTTGGTTGATGCATGTCATCGTATCCCAATTGCGTTGATCGATGCTCTTTATGTCAATCAGTGGATTGTCTAGTCCAGACTCGATTATTTACAGACCGCGGTCATATAGCTGTAATATTGCTGAGTGCGGCGTTAAACAACAAACAAACAAAAAACTATAGGCAACAATAGATTTTTTTCTCTACAATTTCAAAGCGACCAATGACCCATAATACCAAAGTGGGATGACTTATTAAATATAATACTACGCGATTCGTTGTCTAATAATTACACTTTGAGAATGTCTTTTAATATGACCTGATGCAAGAGCAGATGCGGATTTCTCTGATATAACCTTCAAGACATTCACCCCTTAGGAATTCCGGGTTAGAAGTGGTCCCCAGCAACCTATGCTGGTCGTTAGAGGCAACCAAATGGATCGGGTGGTCAGGTTACTTGCGTGTCACGACGGCAGGGATCGTTGCTCACAATATAGACAACTGGATGGTCTGGTCCTGACTCAATTATTTACAGGCCGTCATCGTATAGCTTGAATATTGATGATTGCGGCGTTAGTCAACAAACAAACAAACAGATAAACGTACAAACATTCAGCTTGTTCATCGGGTTCATTTCAATCAGAGGGGCAGGTGAAAATAATAAGACAGAAAAGATTGCATTGCTGATTTGCTCCAAACGAGAAGTATGACAGTTTATAGTGGTATAGAAAATGTACACAAAATAGACTTCAGTTCATTGGCAATATACATGTCTGTGTCCACGACACCATATGTGTTCTCCGCGGCTTCTGAAAACCCGTAAGCTTGGCTAGAAATCGTCATAGTATATTTTGTTTGGCACGTCAATACATTTTCGATTTTTTATGTCGGTCTGTTCTCACGATATGTTAGTTTTCACACTGATAAAAAATCCATTTTGAAATGTAATGTACATATAAACAATTATACAGGTAGCCAACAGACTTTGCAATAGGCATTACGGATAACGCGAAAAAAAATCCACTGCTTTAAGCAGGTAATGGTTATGTTTCTTCATCGTTCTTACACGGGTAGCTGAAAATGAAGACGGCAATTGCAGTCGGATAAAACTAAGTCAACGCAAAACAATGTTCTATTCATGAAATAAAAGCCCTTGTTTTAAAGTTATGCTTGCAACAAAACAGTACTAACGTACCTGTAAATGTCGTCTTGTCTGATATCCTGGCCTGTACACCGTCTCTAGGAATACCGGATTTGAACCCAGAAAGCAAGGAGAAACGTTGTAGTGAAACAACAGTAGGCAGACCAAACTTAGCAAAGCCTCTTTTGTGCCACTGGTGAGAAGATTTCTCCAGCTTAGTTATAGCCAACGTGAAGCGTGGGATGTCAGTTGATACCCTTCGCTCGATATGTTTCCGATGATAATCTGTAATGCTTGTTTGGGGGATGTAGTCAACATGAGCCACAGCGCGATGTGAGGTACGAATGTAAAGTGGTACTACGGCCACCTGTCACTGTATCCTGTTCGGCTTCCGTCGATCGATTGGCTGACTATAGTCCGTTAAAACTCAGATATCTAATTTACACTAAAGGTTGTGGTCAGGAGGTGGCTCGTCGCAGAGCATACGCGAATGGATGATGACATTGAGTACCAGAGTCTTTGTTAAACTAACAGCATGTAGGTGTAAAGGTTAGAGGACAAGGACCGGGTGTGTAATGGTTCACAAGGTTAATTAGTTACGGTCCGAGGCGCCTGCGACTTTGCAATGAAAACCATTGCAATGATTCAACACCTGAGAATATGATCGATTCAAATTAACCACGGCCAGCATTCACAGAACCTTGGCAACTAAGATGTTTAAAGAACATTGTTCTGTCAAGATCATCTGCCAGAACATTGTGTGAGTAGCCCTCATGTAAGGCACATGGTATGTGTCCTGGAGCTTTTCACACGGGCACCTCGCTCTTTGCCATCTCGGGCTATATGAGCCTCAGGAAAGTATATATAAAATCTATATAATATTCATATTGGACAGGCTTGAGCACACTAATCAATCACCGAAGTATTACGTGCCCATTCAGTTATGAGCAAACGTTGGCCTGATGATGAGAACTCGTTTCGTTTAACGAAACGCTACCAAATCAAACGTACGTTGAATGAATAGCAGAACATCCCAAGTAAGACACAAATATCCCCATTCATCTACGGACAGTTTTGATGTCACTAATTATTTACTGTTGATCCCATGTTTTCTACATCATTCGCTGGCCTTCGGTGTGGGTTCGAAACCCGCTGGCGAAACACGTTTCATCAAATTGTTCATTCATTAAAATCTTTTACAGGAAAAAGAAGTTCCTTTTTTGCCAAGTGGTGTTTAACTGACTATTCATTTTGTTGATGCGCGGCCAAATGACCAATGGTTAAGGTTGTTGTTGTTGTTTTTTTCCGAAATGACGATAATGATAGCCCTGTATAGTTTAAGGTACTAGGAATTCTGGAGTCATTCTAGAATATGTGCCCACAGTAACGGTTACTGCAAAGATGACGTTAACACCATGTTGATAACGCTGAACAACATCACTTGGTCCTTGTGCGATGACGTAGAAATAAGCGAAAAAAACATTTCCATAATAATACGAAATCTCTGCTAAAAGCAGATTCCATTGTACGACTATATCATGAACATGTGTTTATGAATCACTATCAAATAGTAATGATAGTATGGTTCACGAAAAGGTGAGCGTATACTGTCCAACCGGTGGCACCAGATACTACATTACACATGAACTACAAAGGTAAAGTATCGCATCAAGGGGTGTCACTAGTGATACCTTGCCAGAACATGAAATGAGAGAAACATGTTATTTGACATGATGAGCCAGTACATTCACTATACTATATAATGTCAACGCCAGAGATTAACCAGTCTCGATTATCATACAACATTTGTTCAATGTATGTATCATTTGCATTTATTTTATATCATTAGTGTATAGGATTTCCCATGTGGTTAATGGGTTAGAATGGTACCCCTGCTGAGTGTGGCGGTGCTCATAATATCAACCGCTACTTTGTCTGGCCGAGAATCGATTATTTACAGCCCGCCGTCATAGATGTAATATTGCTGAATGCGGTGTCCAACAACTAACACATTGAAAACATTATTACATTATCTTTGGAAAAATAGTCCCGATTTCGAGTGAGTAAGTAAGTGAGTGAGTGAGTGGGTGGGTGGGTGGGTGGGTGGGTGGGTGGGTGAGTGAGTGAGTGAGTGAGTGTGTTGGTGGGTGGGTGAGTGAGTGAGTGAGTGAGTGAGTGAGTGAGTGAGTAGGCCGCTTTTAGCAATATTCGAGCAACATTCTAACCACGTGGGGAATCTAACCCGGGTTTTCGGCGTGACGAGCGAACGCTTCAATATCTAGGCTAAACCCCCGCACCCCTATACCCCCTACTCCCCTCACCCCACCCCACCCCATCCTCATCTTTTAGAGTTTCTCTAAGCATAATGTGAAACATAGCGTTGTGGTATGGTATTTGATATTTTTCAAACTTCAACTTTGAACATTGCATGCACGTATCAGTTTGCACAACAAATGTAACGGAACACGAGATGACACTGCTTTGTTAGAGGCTTATATTTTTAGGTTATTATTTGTACTTTTTATTAGCGGGAGAATCTAAATAAATTCTATCACCGTCTCCTGCCGAATCCGACACTTTAAAAGCTTCGATAATGCTAAGTATTAGTCTGTTTGGATTCGGTTTTAAAATAATACCAGGATCTCGTTGCACCCTATTTAACTCCAGAAAAGCCTTAGACTATCTAGTCTTGATGTCGTGTCTCATTGTCTATGAATGAATTAAGTATTGTCACTAATATTGTTTCCCCGTTAAATCTTCATGTGCTCAACTCAGCGTCATGCGTCGTATGTGGTCGTGGCGTGTTCATCAGGACCCGTGTTAACAAACGATTATCCTTTCAAGAACACACAGGGGCACGGATACAGATCAAATAATACAGGATTACGTATACATAACGAACTTGTACTTCAATGACATACACAAAAACAGTTTTACATCCTACAGACAAATATGTGATGGTGATGGTCGCTGCAGGGTCTGATTCGTTGACGGGCAAGGCTGCAGTTCAGACTACAGCGACCATACGTGTTCTCATTGTAAGTAGTGGAATAGATTAAAGGTATAACTCCTTTTATTGATTCGTCGAGCAATTTGTCCTGCCAGTAAAAGTACTGATTGTCGGGGGATTATCTGCAATCGACACTCCTCTCGGGGATTCTTGGGCAGATCTTGTCCTCAGAACCTAAAGGTTATCGAGAGAGCTGACAAAAAGGGGTATGGGATCGTCTCAGTGGCTTTGGAATGCCATTCCAGAAGGGACATTGTCGCATTGTCGCCCTTAAAGAAACGAGCAAAATTATTAAAATTAACCAAAGTGCGAGAACTTTGAATTATTATTTTGACTTCACCAAAGGGAGACAATGCAACAACGCGTTTTTGCGTTGTCGCCCAATCTTACATGTAAATACGTCAAAAAAGCCTTGATAATGTCGCTTGTTGTGTTGACGTCCGTTTCCATAAATGATGCGCATGTGTATTTAGTGAATTCTTCTACGCATGCGCAGTAATGGCTAAACTCCTTTTCAATTCCAGTCTGTTATGTTCATTTGATTCTAAAACAAACGAACAAACAGTCAATGACGCAAGTGGTGGCTTTTCTCAAAATAAGAATCGATATTTGATCGCTTCTTCAGAAATTATTCCATATATTTTTCTCTCGGTGTAGTTATCATAAACTCACCTGTTTTGACAAAAAGAAACAAACTATTTGTATTCCTATCTTATTTAATCCGTCTCCAACAACTTTTTCATTTCGATGAGGGAGCACGGTTGATGTGCCAGAAACCAATGATAGTTGGTTCGAATGCCCGATTCGTCTTGGTTAGGTTTCTAGCTTTGTCAGCAGCATACTTGTTCTAGTCGGTTTCACCAAAATGGCTAAGTCTGAGATCTGTAAAACTTCGGGCTTTCCTTCACATAAAGATGCTGCCTTCGTGGTCTAGTGGTAGAGCGTCGGCCGGAGAGCGGAAGGTCCGGGGTTTGATCCCCGGCCGCGTCATACCAAAAGACGTTAAAAGATGGTACTTGTTGTTACCCTGTCTGGCGCTCGGCATTTAAGGGGCTAAAACAAGGACTGGTCGGCTCGGAGTCAGTATACTGTGTCTGAGTGGGGTATTCATGTTAAACTGCGGCATGGTATCTCAGTGAGCTAGCACTATAAATCGGCATCAGTCCGGACTAGTACAAGCAGCCACACACACACACACACACGTGCATGCACGTCGCTATATAAGTGCAATAATCTTGGACGCGACGTTAAACCCAATTTCAATCACCTCACATAAAGAAAACACGCTGTGATATAACTGAAATACGACTGAAGGCGGCGTTTAACAAAACCTAATCGCATGTTACCTAAACGTAACGAGTTTCTATTCGTTAAAGTACATACGAGGGCTGATCAAAACGTTCTAAGCCTGACAAACAAATCCAACAATTGTGAAAGTGTTTTTAATTATATTTTTCAACATTATCTCCCTGCTTTTCAATACACTTCTCATATTGATAATGAAGATTTTCAGTCAGGAAGAAGTTTTCTGAAGCCACCCTGAAATATCAATTCACGGCAGCTTTGAGGTCGTCGTTGTCGTCATAGCTCGAAGGTGTTATTTCAGTTTAGGAAACCGGTGGAAAGCACTTGGTGCCAGTCTGGCGAGTGTGGAGGGTGAGGAAGCTCATCGAACCCACAAAGTCGCACAGCACCCTTTGCAAGTCGAGAGGTGTGAGGAGAGGCATTGTCATGAATGAGTAGAACGCAGGCAGTCACCATTCCTCGACGCTTTTCTTTGATATATTTTCTCAGGCGATGAAGCAAATCAGCATAGTAGGCACTGGAAATCGTCTTTTAACTTTCTAAGTGATCAACAAGGATCACACCCTGTGTATCCCAGAATACATTGGCCATAACTTCACTGACCTTAAAGACTGGAATTTGTTATGCCGGACAAGTGTAGACCCATGTTTCATCACCCGTTACTAATCTCTTTTTGAAATTAGCTCTAAATTTTCTCTGGCAGTGTCAGTTGTTTTTTCTTTTAGTTCAGAATTTGGATACCTTGGCACACAACGAGCAGATATCTTATTCATCTGTAAATATTCATGAATAATAGTTTCAATGGACCCATGGCTCAGACCTGTGTCTTCCTCAAGTTCAGCAATGGTAGTATAAGTATAAGTCTTTCTATCTCCTTGATTGAGTCTTCACTGATGAAAGTTGATGAAACCTCCAGACCTAGGGTCATTATCAAGGCTTATTCTCTAAGCACTTATCCCCATACACTTGTGACATGCGGTCACGGATTTTCTTGGGGAGTACTTTGTTCTAAAGTTAAAAACTTGATGACTGCTCGCTACTCGTTCTTTTCGATTTATGTGTCCATTTGGACCCCCTTCACGTTCAACTGGCTGTCAGTAATATACAAACGGCTTCACAGATCAAATACACTTGCAATGAACTACTCAAACAGTGTACTACATTAACTAGTT